AAAATAGCAAAAGAACTTCGAAAGTATCATCGTTCAAGTATAATTAAACTTTATATTATGAATAATATGGATCAAGAAAAGAGCATAGAAAGAATAAAGCGAGGAGAAATAATTATAGCTACGAATCTAGCAGGACGTGGTACCGATATAAAAACGGATGAAATTGAAAAATACGGTGGTCTTCATATCATTATTACATTTATGCCCCGTAATAGACGCGTTGAAGAACAAGCATTTGGTAGAACTGCGCGACAAGGTAAACGAGGTACAGGTCAAAGAATATTAAATAGAGAAGATTTATTGTATTATAAAGATTGTGACGTTGAGAAAATCATTCAATCAAGAGATTTAATAGAAGAAAAAATGTTAGAGCATTTTAAAAAACAAGAATTACAAGTAATTGATTTAAAAGATAATCTTTTTTGTAAATTTTTCAAATTATTAAAAGATATACGTACAAAAATTAGAGAAAAAACGATCATTCCGACAAAATTAAAGGAGAATGTAAAAAGAAAATTCGGGTATGATCATCCTTCTCTATTGGAATCCAATATAATTCTTAGCATTGAAGAACGATGGGCTATTTTTCTAAATAAAATTAATACTAAAGAATCTTTGATTGATATTAAAAAAATTTATCAAGATTATGAAAAATTTTAAAAAGAAATAATTAATGATTACGATAAAGATTGCGTCATTAAAAATCCTTATTATCATATTAAGATTGGTAATGACTTACTTATCAATGATTCTTTGTTTAACGAAAACTATGAAGATGCTATGAAACATTTTGATCGAGCTATCGAACTTGATGAAAAACATACAGCAGGTGCATTTTATGGTAAGGGTTGGTTATTATTAAGAGGTATGAAAAAGTTTATTCTTCCAACGAAGCAAGATATAAACTATAAGGACATAGCTATTGCACAGTTTAATAATGCGTTAGCAATTTTGAGCGAAGAGATAGCTACACTAACAACAACGAAAATACTTCTTGAACAACGATATTCACATATTTTAACCAGTCTATCGAAGCAATTATTTCAAAAAGTCAATATTCTCACTACTTATATGAATAGCATAGAAAGAGCTATAACTGTTATTGAAAAATCTCAAAGATTGATTCAAATAACAGAAATAACCGAAAATTCAAGTACAGAGACTAATCAAAACAACGAAAGAGGAGTGTTAAAAGAGATTGTTTCACACGCTAAATTTGAGAAAAAAAATGGAAAATGGTGCGATATTTATTTAACTACAGCTGATGAACTAGATCGTCATTTATCTATTGTCAGAGAACAAAAAGAAATTTTTGTTGTTGTTGAAGATGAAAATAAATTTTCTATTAGATTTAAGCAAAAAGGAAAAGATGAATATGAATCATTAATAAAAAAAAATCAGCATTTGATCGATTCTCTACCATCTTTAGAGCATGAGAAAATGATAATTCCCGATAGAAGCAAATATTCGAGAGTTTATACATTAATTTATGAAGCTGTAAAGTCGAAAAATGGTTATGTTCAACAAGATTTTTTACAGCCTTTCGAAAGTTTAAAAGATAGTAAAGCATATGAAGTAGCATTTAACGACTTAACTGTCAGACAAGATTGTGGAAGTATCGATCAAGCAATAGAAACTATCGATTGTGCAGTGTCTGAAAATCAACTAAATCGAATAGATCACAGGATTGCATATTCAATTATTCAAACAGTTTCAAGTAGTGTCAAGCAAAATGTAGTCTTAAGCAGTACTTATAGACATATCAGTATTAGTATAACGCAGATCAATGCAGGAGTATTGAAAGAATTTTTGAATCCTCATATTGAAATTCAAGAAGTAACAAAACAATTAGCGATATCATATTTTAAAGATAAAAGCTCATTCTTTCATCGTCATATATTACCAGAAAATTGGTTTTCCGATTCATGTAAAGTTGATTTAGAAATAAAAACGGATAATAAAACATTAGAAAAAAAATCCAGTTTACAAGTAAGAGAGGCAATAAAAATTATTGAAGAACAAACAGAAAATAACTTATATTTCAATTTGAGTTTCATTGATGCAAATAAAATGTCAATAGATAAGAAAAAAAGTGTCTTAGACCATTCAGATCAAACCATAGAATTTATTGGATTAGATAGAAATGATGTGCAAGATAAATTAAATAGAATTCAGTCGAAGAATATTGTTCTTGAAATATCTGATAGTAAAGAAAAATTATTAGAAGTAATTAGTTTAGCAGATGTGGAATACATAGAGATTTCTTTTGATAGAAAATCAGAAAAAAATATTGACAATGTTAAGAAAATAGTAGACAAGCAAATAGCAAAGAAAACTATTAAGAATAGTATTAGTAATCGAATGACTATTGGATTAATCGGTATAGAAAAGAATTTTGCAAAAGAAATAATTAATCATTGTTCCAATGAAGACTTTGTTATTAGATTTATTAATGTAGAATTTGAAAGTCTTTTAAATGGACTAAGTCATGAAATTGTAAATTTTCATTTTGATAGGTTAGAGAAAAAAGCTGCTAAGATTCTCATTGAAAAATTACGAAAAAAGAATCATAGTTTTATATTAAAATTTAAAAGTTTAACGAATCATGAAGTACAACGACTGATAGAAATCGCTCCAATAAAACAAGAAGATATTCAAATAATTAAAAAGAAAACTTTAAGTGAATTATTCATGAATACATCAATGCCTAAATTAGAACTTTCAGAATTTTCAGAGCGAGGTATCGAATATTTACTTGAAATTAATGAGAAAGGATTTATTCCATAGAGAAGTATTGCTCTTGTAACTATGCTTGCTGCCATGCAGATGGTAGTAGGTGGAGCATTAATAGCTACCGGAGTCGGTGGAACTTTAGGGATGGGACTGATAACTGAAGGAATAGTACATTTAGTCATTGCTGGTACTGCTGTTTATAATAGAAAGTTTTCCTGAACACATTATACACTACAAAAAGGAGTAAGTTTGACTATATCAGCAATTTCTATGGGAATTTCATCAATAAAAAGTATGAATAAAGCAGCTCAAAACATTGCAATAGGAATAGGAGATGAAATAACTGAACAAACAGGTACACATCTAATAACACATGGTAAAACTCTTGTTCATAGCGCAGCTAAGACTGGACATCATGTAGGCAATCATGCTTTTAAACATCTTGCAGCAAAGACTGCTGAAAAATCATTGTTTCTTGTTAGTAAGACTATAGCAATTAGTGCACCTTTTGTATTGGAATACTTAAAACTGAATATATCGAGATTCATACAAGATAAAGTTAAGTCAAGTTTATCCGAATCTGAATTGTTAAAATTAATGAACAAAATATATGCATTTGACTTATTTAACAAACAAAAACAACTTACAAAAAAGATTGATGAGATAATAGTTCAGATAATTGATTCGAATAAAGATTCTTGTGGAATACATTGGACTTCGATCTGTCAATCACTAAATCAATGTATTGATACACTAAGCTCAAATATCGCATTTGGTACAATCAGTTTTACTATGAAAATAATTGGTATTTTGAACAGCAAACATGAAATCAATATTATTATTAAAGATATTTCCAAGAAACTTCTAGTAAAACTCTCACTATTATATCGAGATACATTATCAATGGAACAGATTTTAACACGCTATTGTTATGTTAATAAGGAAGATATCAATGGCATAATATCTCTTCTTGAAGAGCAAAACATTATAGAAAAATTCAGTGACATTGATGAAAATTTCCATAACCAAGATTTTCTGGATAAATTAAATCGCTATGATTTTAAGGATTACGATAAATATAAAGGAAAAATTATAGATTTTTTAAAGACGCTACATTATAATATATTGACTGTAAACTCTGATGACTTGAGTGAAAAAATGAAAGTGATATCAGATTTTATTACAGATCATATAATCAAATTTACAGAAAGAGAACTTGATTCCAATTAAAAGTTCTCTTATCATTGAACAAAAGAAGAACTTTTTCTCAATTACTAAAATATCTTTTTATTGTTAATGAAATACAGAAAACAAAAACACAACAATTAATATAAAATATTAATATCCACTAATATCATTAAAAAATCAACGAAATCAACAATCTAAGAAGAAATAGACAAACAAATTTTGAAAATTTTTAGAAAGATAAGCATTCAAGTGGTTTAACGATGAAATAGCGAAAACAATATATTCTGAACAAATAAGACTTATGATCATATAACAATAATATAAAAATATATTTAACTTGACATTTTTTCCCATATCGCAGAGTTGCTTATTTATGTATTAGTATCCAATTGAAAGCACGAACTCCAATGATGATTTCAAATTTCAGCTAGGTTTACTATTGATTGTTAAGTTTAGAAATAGTATTATGTGATCTTCTAATCAAAAGCATAAACCTTTCAACCTATTTTATATTGATATTTATTTACACAAATATATACAAATGAAATCGACGTATGTCCTAATTGAAATATTTTTTTTGGGAAAATCTCTAGTACTGTAATTATCATTTTGTTCAGAACTTCTGAAACTCTTCAGTAAGTTCACATAAACCGAATTGATCGTAGATGAAATATTACTAACCAAACTTCTTAGATTTCAAATCACGATAACAAAAAAACATATCAGATTTAACTATTTATTAAATTTTATCATAGACTCAACAGTTTTCATTTTGGTAATTCAAAATTTTAAAAACTGCTTTGTAATCAATGTCCTATCTTTTAACTGTCAGTTTTTCGTACTCTTTCTATTCATTATTTTTCTCTTATCAAGTTCATATAATCACCGCTTTATTTTTGTCACTATTTTATGCAGATTTTTTCTTCGTGATCAGTTTATTGTCATTGTTTAGATAAGATTAACACATTCGTGACGATGTTAATATTAATAGTGATTTTTCGTAAATTGTGAAAAGTTTCATTTCTTTATTCAAGACAATTGTAATGGTTCAATAGAGCGTTTACCAATATTTCTCTTATGAATATGACCTATGAACATTCCTTTATCAGTAGTAAAAGAATCATCCACTTTATTGAAGATATGGTAGAGATATTCAATTTTTTCTATACGAAAGAAACTTTTGAGCTACCTTTTAGCGTGAGCTATTAGTGGCTCACATTGTCTCGAATGTGTTAAACTTCACCAAATGATAATGATATATTTCCAAATGACACTACATTTGACAGAAAACTAAAAATAATATATGATCGAAATTCTAACCTAACAGGAAACATGTCAGAAGATACAAATAGTAAATGATAAAGAAATTACTTGCCATTTGTATCTTTGTCAAAGAGAGAATAGGTCCATGTTAGAAAAATAAACTATGAATCAATTAAATTCGTCAAATTGATTAAAAACTATACTTTGATAAATTATCTATAAATTAGCATATATTTGATATTAGAGTCAAAAGAAAAAATTTACTTTTTGATAATCAAAGTTTGAATAAAAATGCTCACTATATTAACTATTAAATATATACTTTTGAAAACAAAAGTATAATCAATCTAAATTTGCAGAATTCAATCGTATATCATGAGTATTTACATTATTGAAAAAGAAAATTAATGATTTTGAACATTATTTATCTTACAGAAAATTACTAATTCCTTTTTTAAGAGATCAAAAGGCAAATAAAATAGTAATGTTAATAATCTGATTTGCTATATTCATATTTACCAACGCAAAAAAAAAACAAAACCATATTACATATATATCAGTGTCCCAACTAATTGATGATATTGAAAGAACTTTTCAGTTTTTGTTTTATTGTATTCTAATGTTTCAAATCATTCAGCAAGTATTCAAACTTCTTCATATACATTATACAAGTCTTTCATCTTAACAAATTATTTGTAGTACTTTCGAATTTTCATTGACTTGAAAAAAACTTAAATTCTCTAACATGAATAATCATTCTGTTTTGCAGCTAATAGAATGTTTGTTCAGAAAGATGTCTTTTATCCATATATCGTAGCAGACATAAAAGTCAGCATCATATGCCTACTTTATATTTCACCAATAATGTAATTCACATTTTCTGTAGGCATATAATTATGATTTTTATGAATTCATTGCGATAATCAAGGACTGTTACAAGCTCCTTGGTTTTGATTGATTATCCATTTTTCTCTTTCTATTTAATTTATTCATTTTTATACTTTTATTTTATTTAAAGCTTATTTATTTTCGTATTTTTATGTTTATTGTTTCCTATCTATCTATATTTATATATTATTAATGTACATGCATCTATCGTTTTCTTTTTTTTTCTTTCTTTATTGCTTGGAATGTAAATTCATACCGAGAAAAAAATATTTCTTTTTTTCATGTCATCTTTTTAAATAAAAACGTTCTTTTGCCATGGATATTTCTCAAAAATATCAATATTAAATTGGCTGGATGCGACAAATTCGAGTTTTTCTCAGAAGAACAACTTTCCAATGAATAAATATATTTCTTAGAGAAGAGCTATCAATGATTCACTAAAAATTCCTTACAAAATCAGAAAAAGAAAATATTATTACAACACATTGATAAATCCAGAGAAACATTAACCATATCTTTGATACAACTGAAATTTCTATGTTGCAGTCAACGTTTTCTGTTCACTTTAATTTCATGAAGATTCGGTCAAAAGAAGAAACTGTTCAATTAATTTTCTATGAGTATAATCAAGATGAATATGATGCTGACTATTATGTGAAAACAAAAGATAATTCTATTGTTGCTGTAAATCATCAAAATGTTTACAGATCTTCCTTATTAAATGTAATGGAAAAACAAATAATGTAATCAACATCGAGTGGAAAAGTTAAGTAACATAATTCTTCTCAGAAAAAAATGGCTAATATATAAACTCAAAAAATTCTACAAAATATTTACTACTTTATTAAACATCTTTTATCTTCAATCTGTATAGAATAACAAAATCTGTTAATCAATCCTGACTGATTATTTTCATTATGTCGCATATATCATCATTCCTAATTTCAAAAAAGATTCTCAAACATGATTATTGGATCATATTGAAACTCAATATTGAAGTGTTATTGAAATTTTTAGAATGATATTTAATCTATATCTATCACTTAGTTTTATTGATTATTGATTCAAGTGATATATTTGATTTTTATTCATGGCAACTGATGGTAATGATTTTTTTTCAAAAAATGTGATTATTTATAAAAATGGACCACTGTTATTTTAATAATGCATTTATTTTTTGTTCAAAAAAAAAAATAAAACACAGGCAATACATATTGAATCAATAAATAAAACAAGTCTCTCTTCGTATATTATATTGAGGGTGTGGGTGGATAGAGTGAGTAGTGATAACCACACGCCACATGCACAAGAAATGTGCGATGTAATCATAATAAATCATTGAATCAACATATCAAGTATACTAAAATTAGCTGATAAATGTTGCTAATGAAGTTAAACAGCCGAAGATCTTTTGTTTCTTTTGAGTAATTTAAGATTTGCTTTTTCATTTTTAGTTCCTAAATGTAGACAGGCAAATATTAATTGATATCATAAAATAAAAACAAAATTTCATTTCAATGATTTTATTTGAAATGATTTGACTTTTTCTATTTCATCATTCTCAATAATAACATAGCCTTTCAAACAATATCAGAAGAAAATATTTCTATACATATTGACTCGCAAGTTTTTATAAAAGAAAATTTATTAAAAAACTTCAAATCCAAATTTTTCTAATTTCGAAAACATTCAAGTATTATAAATTGTGCGTAGTT